CCGGAGCGTGTCCGTTTGCTCCCTCATTAGTCCAAGCAGCTTTTCAGTAGCCTGTTGGTCCTCCTGACGCCACCTCTCCTCCCGTTCCATGACTGCTCGGTGCATTTGTGACAAGTTCTCCCTCCACTGTGTCTGCTGGGCTGCCTGGGCTCGGGAGCAGCCCATTAGTTCTGTGAACATGTCTTCACGCGTCTTCTTCTTCCTCCGCCTAATCTGCGCTAGCCTCTGGGAGTGTGCTGACAGGCTGGGTTGGGAGACAGTCGCAGATGTGTCTGTGTGAATTTTAAAAAGGGAGTGAATTCCTGAGACAGATAAATGAAATTGTATACAAAGAACCTAGTCTTTCTCTGTGAACAAGACCATGCACTGAACCTCTCACATGCGCACTCAGGACAAGGTCGAATTTTCGGCCGTCGCCTTCAGTGCCTGTGGACTTGCGGAGGTCTTGGAGTGTTCAGAGAACTGTGGCTGGAGACCTGAACTTCTGGAGCGGGCAATAATGGTAAGCCGCAGACTTGTGGCTGCTTAAAACTCCAGCTGTAGCACTGGCCTCCTTTCACATTGAAAGCAATGCCAGTCTCTGCTGCCAGCAATCAGGACAGCATCAACTTTGCCCCTGTCCCACCCCCTCGCGGCTGTCCCAGGGAAAGATCCCTGTATGCTGCCCCTCTCCCTCCACCGCGTGGCTGTAAAGCAGTCCCAATACTAACAGTCCCCTCCCTAATTCAAAGCAGGGCGTCATGAGCGACATCACCCTCCTGAGGATCCCGGACACCCAGAGAGAACGCATGCTGCGGGAAAGCATGCAGAAACCGGGGCCGTATGCCGCCATGCTATGTCGGGCCATGATCCCCGAGTACCTGATTGTGGCATGGAGGGGACATGTCTGCTACCACGGAGGGCCCACTAAGATCGCCCTACCCCGGAACCTGATCAACAGGCTTGAGCTCTACCTCCACGAGACCTACGAGGAGTTCTCCTACGAGGATTTCTCGTCGATCCCCGGCCACATTGACCGGATTTTCGCGTAGGTGCACTGGGACTTTGGAGTGGAGCGTCTTGGGCCTGGGAATCATGTAGTAACGGACATTGTGAAATTTTTTTAAAATACTTGGGACTAAATTGAGAAGAGCCTAAGACAGAGAAATCATGCAAAACCCATTTGTTACCTTTGTAAATATTCCTGTTTTGTACCTGATTATTTTTTTACTAGTTTACAGCACTTTTATAAATATACATTGTTAATAGTATAAATATTACCGTTCTGTTTTAAATAAATGTTTACATGTTTACAGCACTTACTGCTTGATCCGTCCCCTGATTCTGTGTCCGGGGTAAGGGATGGGGACGGTTGGTACGGGATCTCGGTAAGGGTGATGAAGAGCTCCTGGCTGTCGGGGAAATCAGCGGTGCCAGCGCTGTCGACTGCCTCGTCCTCCTCATCTCCTTCCTCCTCTTCCCCGTCCGCTGTCATGTCCGACATGATCCCATCCTCGGAGTCCACGGTCAGGGGTGGGGTAGTGGTGGCGGCCGCTCCCAGGATGGAATGCAGTGCCTCGTAGAAACGGGATGTGTGGGGCTGGGATCCGGAGCGTCCGTTAGCCTCTTTGGTTTTTTGGTAGCCTTGTCTCAGCTCCTTGATTTTCACGCGGCACTGCGTTGCATCCCGGCTGTAGCCTCTCTCTGCCATGGCTTTGGAGATCTTCTCGTAGATCTTAGCATTCCTTCTTTTGGAGCGCAGCTCTGAAAGCACGGACTCATCGCCCCACACTGCGATGAGATCCAAGACTTCCCGATCAGTCCATGCTGGGGCCCTCTTTCTATTGGATTGCACGGCCATCTCTGCTGGAGAGCTCTGCATAGTTGCCACTGCTGCTGAGCTCCCCTCGATGTCCAAAGAGGAACTGAGATTCAAACTGCCCAGACAGGAAAATGAAAATGAATTCAAATTTTCCCGGGGGTGTGGCTGGTCAGAGCATCCGAGCTCGGACTGCTGTCCAGAGCGTCAACAGAGTGGTGCACTGTGGGATAGCTCCCGGAGCTATTAGCGTCGATTTCCATCCACACCTAGCCTAATTCGATATGGCCATGTCGAATTTAGCGCTACTCCTCTCGTTGGGGAGGATTACAGAAATCGATTTAAAGAGAGCTTTATGTCGAACTAAATGGCTTCCTGGTGTGGACGGGTGCAGGGTTAATTCGATATAACGGCGCTAAAGTCGACATAAAAGCCTAGTGTAGACCAGGCCTGAGTCAAATTTTAAAAAGTCCCAGACAAGCAAAGAAATGTTGTGCAGAATCATCTGCGTATCCCTTTGCTTTATTTTTCTTGATCACGGGCTGTTGTCCATTGGTTCATGCTGCCCCAATCCTTGACCAATAGGGAAATACATTCTGGCACAGAAATGAACTCCCCCCTGGAAGCTGTCCTTCTCACATAACTGGATTCTCAAGAAACCTGGCTCTCCTGGCTACACTTCCAAACAACTGAGATGAGTTTTGGATTTTAGTTAGAGGGAGCTAGGCGACACGGTGGGTCAGTGGAAGCCAAGGTTTAAATCTTCCTGATGTCAACAGTTAAATCAATTTGAAAGTCTTAGCATAGTACTTAGCCCTTAACCTAGTACTGCATCACAAAATCACATAGGATTGACTCTCGTTAGCAGACTTCTAAGAGAAGTTTAGGAATAGAATATCAGGGAATTCTGCATGTCAAGACTAAAGCTATGTCTATACATGGAAGCTAGGAGTGCAATTCCCAGCTTGCATAGACATACTCATGCTAGTTCCTATCAAGGTAGTGCGCCAAAATTTGTAGTGTAACCACAGGAGCATGGGCTAACCGCCCTGAGTACGTACCCACATGGTCCATGCTAGGAGGCTGTACCACTTTAATGATACCATTTTCAAACCAATGTAGTTAAAGCAATGCAAAAGCTGTGTGTAGACAAGCCCTTCTATCATTTTAAAACTGGTCATATCCATTTAGATGCCACCTCTACATTTTCAGATGCAAGCTAAGCCAATATAAACCAGGTTTCAATCAATTTTAGACTGTCCATGCACAAAGCTGCACTGGTTTAACTAGACTGGTTTAAAATCACACCTTTAAAAGCTTCCTTTTTTGTTCAAATATCACAAGATGGCCTGGTCTACCCACAGTATTGCGCCACTTTGACTAAAACTGCTCTACAAATTGATTCAGTTAAACAGCGTACATCAAGTTTATATACAACTGGTTTATATCAACTTGCATTCATACATAAGAGCAGAGAGACCTGGTGCCAAATTCTGCTTTGGGGACATCCATGTACATGGGGGAACTCCACTGGAGGCAATGGAGTTGGGTCTAAAAGAGGCACAAGAGGGGAATCTAACCCGTTAACTGTTTTCCTGGAACTTCCCTCCGGCATCAGAGCAAAACCAGGTCATGTTTCTCCTGATTGGGAGGGTGTGCGCCTTTAAGACCCTGTGCGCCAGCAAAAAGGACCTCTTTTGTTGAATGGAAACACACAGGGCTACTCCCCCCTAACTCTGCTCAGCCTGGCTCCTTCTGTTTGTGGCAGTTTTCAGCATCTAAGATTTTTAGGGGAAGGGGGAAGGAAAGAGACATAGATAAGGAGAGGGCCGTTGCCCCTCCACCCCATGGATCCTTTAGGGAGGAGACTGCCCTATAGCAGAACAAACTCCTTTCTTTTTCCCCCTGTAACTGTACAGGGAGGGAGCAGAGCGAGTGGCATGCATTTGTGTGGAAGGCAAATCCCCAGTGCCTTCAGCCCAAGCACATCCATTAATGCACATTATGTGGACTAGTTAGGGGGGAGGGGTAGAGATCCAGAGGCGGGGCAGGCACAGAGGGAAGGGAGAGGCCTTGCATGAAAGGCAAAGAAAGGGAGTGTGATGGAGGCCGACAGAGAAGGACAGGAGCTGGGGTTCCCAGCTCCCCGGCAGCACCATTCTGTGCAGAGCCCTGCTTTGCTAACTGTTGCACTGCTTCATCCCCCTGCTCCCACAGGCTATTTATAAATAGCCCTGGGCTACAGCTGTTGACCTTCGTGCCCTAATAAAAAAGGTGCATTTAGATTGAAAGGGGAGAAACATCCCTCCACCCCCAGCTGAGACAGCACTCCCTAGAAGATGCCCTCCAGGATGCCAGGGCGGAAAGGCACCATCTCACCAGCATCCCAGCTCGAGACAGGGAAAGGGCCCCAGCTTGGTCCTGGGGGAAGCGTGAGCCCTGTGCAGAAAAGAGTCACCTGGCCAAAACACCTGCGAAGGCGAGGAAGGCCATGCCCTCGCTGGGAGCAAGCGAAGCCGACTAAGGGCTCTAGGTCTGGGGAAGCACTGAGTGATTCTGCCCATCAACAGCTGCTCACGCCCCCTTTCCCCCCCACCCCCCCCCGCTCTCTGTCTGTCTCTGTCCATCTGTCTGCAGCTCCGCCCTCGGCGTGCTTTAATTACATTTTAAATTCAAATCTGCTGCTATTTGATCCGCTGGGTGTATTTATAGATCCGCTCAAGCTGGCTGTGTGGATAAGGCAGGTTGGGCAGGTTGCTGTGACATGTGGGGCAGGATGGGATTGCTCGCTCGCTTTCCTTCTTTTCCTCCTCCTCATCGGATTATTTTGCAGCAGGTCCCACGTACCCTCCCTCCCTCCCTCACACACACACTGGCTCTCTCTTAGGTTGCTTTTGTTTTTATTGTATTATTCTCTTGTGCAACAGGGGGCAGGAGAAACTAAGGGTGGCCTTGATTTTTCTCTTTAGCATTTTAAACACACACACACAGTGTTTGGGGTAGAGAGAGAGAGAGAGATCTGGTCCTTGGTCCTGTGAGTTGCTACCTCTACATGCCTGAGCCAGCAGACAAAGCAAGCACGGATGAAGTTGGTACGGTTACCCCGGGGCTTGCTGTTTCCTCCTTGGGTCAGACGAATCACAGAGACTCCCCTGCCCCCTGTCCGCTACTGAGCTGAAAATCCACCTCTGGGATTTAACCTGCTGCTCCTGAATTTCCTCCTCTCCTGCCTGTCTCACTCTGCTTCTTCCTCCCACCTTCCCCCCTCTTCAACACTCCCTGGACCAGAGCTGGATTCTGATGGAACTGCCAAGATGTTCATGTCCAGAATCCTGGATTTTCAGAAGACAAGATATGCCAGGTAAAGCCAAGTGGCTGTGTTCTTAATTCCTGTAGCTGAACCATTTTGCATTGTGTTTTGAAACCCTCCAGGATCCCTCCCAACCTCTGCCCTTCCCTAGAGGAAGCCGGGAGTGAATTCCAGGGTGGTGCTTGCAGGACAGAGTGAATAAAGCTGACAGTGGGGTTTGAAAGATGTGGAGCTCCTCCGAGCACAGGGCACCTGCAGGGCTGATATTCTTGCTTTGTTTTCCTGGTATAACAACAATCCTTTGCACTTTCATAGCACCTCTGCAGACCTGAATGAATTCAGGCTCACAATGCCCCTGGGAGATAAGTATTACTAGCCCCATTTCATTAATGGAAATACTCAGGCAAATGTGGCCACTGATTTTGGGGTGTTTCAATATTTGGGCGTCCTTCTTGGGACACTTTGACACAGGGTCATCCTTTGGAGTTGTGGGTGCTCAGCACCTCTGAAAAATCAGCCCCCTACAAGTGGTGGTAACTTGTTTTAATGGCTCAGGTGTGTTGGGATCCATTATAGTGGCACTTGCTTAAGAGGATACCTGATGAATGGATAGTCCTGGTCAAGGGATGCATATTCTATGCATCCAACCACTATACAATGAAACTCAGGGTATCACGCATGTTCAAGAAAGATGAATTCAGACTGGACTAGGTGCAGAGAAGGGGGACTAGGATGATCAGGGGACGAGAGAATCTATCTTTCAAGAGGAGGCAAAGAACTTGGCTTGTTGAGCCTACCAAAACAAAGGCTTGTTCTCTCAGAATACATTCAGGAGGAAAACACCAGGCAGGGAGAAGAGCTATTTAAGTTAAAGGACAATGTTGGCATAAGAACAAATGGGTACAAACTGGCCATGAATACCCCAAGATTGGAAATGAGAAGGTTTCTAACCAACAGAGTGAGATCCTTGAACAGCCTTCCACTAGGAGTGGTGAGGGCAAGGAACCTAACTACTTTTAAGGTGGAGCACGATACCTTTTTAAACAGGACAATATGGCGGGGATGCCTGTGCTAGCAGCGGACGGGACTCAATGACTCAGGAGATCCCTTCCAGTCCCATATTCCTGTGTAAAGTGCAACAGAAAATTATTGTCAGGCATCTTAGACAGAGGAAATGCAATGTACACCTGAATCGTGCATTTCAGGCTTGAAGATAGGCTTAGCGAGTCAAATGGAAAGTATAATAATTTATGTAGTATCATCTGTAGCCAGCCATAACGTGATGTTGCAATGGAAAGGCTCCGTGAGATGGTGTTTGAAAACAGAATTTCTGTAGTGAATTCTGTGTTGGGGAAAGATGATAGCCCTTTAGACTGAGTCCTTTATGCACAGGACAGGGACACCACAGGCAAGAGCTGTGCAAGGGTCCCTGAACACCGCTCCTTAGTCTGTATGTCTTAGCCCTTGACCTGGATGAAGCACCTAGAGTACAGTTCAGTCTCTGTATCTGTTCAGTCCTTAGCCTCTCTCCCAGCTGCTAATGCCAATTCTTGTGGTGGGAGTGGTTTCTGTGATGTGGAGAAAGAGCTGCTGAGTTGACAAATTCCAAATAGTTATCAGATTTCTATTGAAAAGCAGCTTTCCTAGTCCGTTTGTCTTAGGAACTGAGTTTGAAGCTGATATACACAAATCCTGAATGAAGACTCTCTTCTCATTCTTCAGATGCCCATTTAAATACCATGTGTTCCTACTGAAGAACCCTTTTGCAATTGTACTGTTCTCCCTATATACGTGTGGGAAAATGGGTGAGTTACAGGGCAATTGTGGGCAATGCTTTGTAACCTTGTCCAGGACAGATCCTTTTTTAATAACCAAGAGAATGCAGTTTTTTTTTTTTTTTACAAAGTGCAATAGGAAAGTGATCAGATCAATTAAATGATGTAGATTTTCTGGGCACCGAACCAAAGTACATTTTGGAAGCCACTGGAGCGAGCCCTCTTTAGAAAGTCCTTCTCTGTCCAGTTAGAGAAACTGATCTGCTAGATGTAACTGAATGCACTTTTTGTGCAACAAGTGTTGCATGTTGAATACGTTGCTAAGAGCCCATTGTTAGGACTGGAATAGTGGGGGATGTGAGTAGAATGAGGCTTACTCACTGAAAATAGGTGCAAGGCTCCTCTCTGTCTTCTCTGGGGTGCAGAGACTGGATTTGGGACTGAGGAATCAGACCAAATGAGCAGCATTGTACTTTTTTGCATGTTAAGATGAAGTTCTCCCACGTGTAACCTAAGGACCTGGCTTTTGTTTTTCAAAGGCTTTTTTGCTGAAGTCTTTTGATAGTTCTTCATGGAGCACAAATGATAAAAAATATATCACAGTGACTAGCTGAGTGCTAGAACTGGGCAGTGCCGTGTTGAGCAGGAGACCTGAGTTTGATTGCCCGGCTTGGCAAGAGCTGGAAGGGCTGGGGACCAGAAAAGGGAAGCCTTGTACTTCAGGGATTTAAGGGTAGTGACCACTCTCAGTATATTGATTAGTGTTGAAAGGGAGGTCTCCAGCCATTGCTCCTTGGCTGGGAATTAGAATCTGAGTTGGGGGATTTATGGAGAAGGCGTCTTAAAGTGCAAAAAGGGCCAAATTATACCTCCCCACCATGTGTATCTCAATGGGAGGAGAGTGACCTCACAGAGTTTCCTTGAATTTTTCCCCAGGATGATCGTGGAGGAAGCAAGAGATGCAGCTTCCCAGTCCCAGGGATGGGAATTGCTCTTTCCTCAGAGGGCCAGCCCCTCTGCAGCTCTTTTGTCCCCCAGCCCCTCCTTGCGGCATGGCTCCGGTTGGTGCTATTGTGCCCTCGGACTGGCTACCCACATGTGCAGACCTGGAGGCTGAGTTACCAGTGCTTCAAGCAGCTATCCATTGTTCATGGAAGAAAGATGCCGTGGAGAGCATCTGCTCCCTTGTACATCTCGTTCCTTCTGCTGCGTGGTTTGGGGGATGGGAGGAGCATGCTAAGGAATCAGGATCCACCAGGTTCTACTACCTTGTCCTTGTATAAGCAACGGGCAGCCTGGGGCCCAAAGAGTGACTGGTGGGGATCTTTTGAAAACCCTTGCTATGCCGGACCCACACATTATAAACGAGATCATATCTTCACACACACAGGTAGTTCATAAGCTCCCGCTGCCATATCAAGGTAGCAGGGGACATGCCATGTTTTCCACCATCAACAGGTGTACAGTATACAGCTTCAGGCTGTGCGCCAGAGAGGAGCATTGTGAAACAGAGAGGAAAGTTTCCCAGGAACCTGAGAGTGAAGCCAGCAGGGAGATGCACTTGCTGTGCATTTGAAAAGGAAGCAGAATCTCCATCCCCTGACAGGTAGCCATCTGCAGGAGCATGCCACCAGCTTCAGCATTTCACTGTCACTTTTGCTTTTGCCACATGGCAAAAGTACGTCCTTATCAAGTCTGATCCTGGGAGGTGCTGAGAGGCATAAACTCCTCTGAAGTCAATGAGAACCGAGGGGACTCAGCCTGCAGGATCGGTCCCTTGACTTATGAAGTTTATCTACAGCGTAGCAGAGATGAAGCCCAAGGAGGAATGGGGTCAGATGTCCATGACCTAGAAAGTGACACCAGGCTGGTTCCCTGTGTTGGGCTCTTGGACTTCTTCCCCATAATCTTTTCTGCACCAGGCATGACAGCTGTGGTGCCAGGCTTCTCCGGCAGCTTTCCCGTTTCACCGGCCAAATGCCTTGGCCGTAAGCAGCCAGAGCTTGACACCTTGTGTGATTAGCTGGGAGCTGGGTTTGGAGCAGGCCAAGCACCACTGTAAGATAAAACATGCACAGCCGAATGGGAAGCATGCTGTAGTGGCACATGGAAGCTCAGCACGGGGAATTACCCTTAACGGCCAGATTCTGCCACCCTTAAAGTATTGGAAAACGTGTCTTATAGTGAAAAACTCAAGCAGCTCAATCTGTTTGGCTTAACAAAGAGAGGTTAAGGGGTGACTTGATCACAGTCTATAAGTATCTAAATGGAGAACGGAAATTTGATAATGGGCTCTTCAGTCTAGCAGACAAAGATCCAATGGCTGGAAGCTAAAGCTAGATCCATTTAGATTAGAAATAAGGTGCCATTTTTTTAATCGTCAGTGTAATTAACAGTTGGGACAGTTTAGCAAGGGGTGTGGTGGATTCTCCATCACTGGACGTTTTAAACTCAAGATTACATGTTTAAACTCAAGATTACATGGGCACGTAAAGATATGCTCTAGTTCAAACTGGAATTAACTCAGGGAAGTCTGATGGCCTCTGTTGATGATCACAGTGGTCCCTTCAGACTTGATAATCTATTAATCTTATTCCATATGCAAGCCCATTGATTGCAACAGGACCATTCCTGAAGTAAGACACCACTTACTCAGCACGAGTAACGGGGGCAGAATTGGGTCCTATGGTAGGGAGAAGAAGCCAAGAGTATCAGTCACAGGTCTGTGCCAGGACCAGTACACATGGGAGTGATGGGCAACTCATTGGCGTATCTGACTCAGGAAGGTATAGAAATAGGTGCGGGTATAGCCTGGCCTCTCAGGAAGGCATTAGAGGCATCTTGATACAGCTTGGAGGAGGGTGGGAAACTTTCACTCTTGCTTGGCCCCGGAAAATAGCATAAATTCTTGATCTCATAAGAGGAATCTGGAACTGATTCTTTTTTGGTTTCTTTTTTTTTTTTTTTTTCTGATTCAAGAGAACCAAGGAAGGAAGAGATTAATGTCAGATGGTCATCAATAAATGCACTGGAAAAATAGCCAGATGAAAGACCTTAAGCAATGAGAATTAGATGAAAGAAAGCGATCAATGTGGGCGTGTTTTATGAACTGTCGGATAAGACGGGAGAATGTTCCCTGCTCAGGGGGCAAGAATGTTGCCCAAGATTCATCCAGGGTTGACTCACTTCTAAATGTTAAATGACTTCAGAAAGAGAGGGAGGATGGGAAGAAAGAAAGAATTTGAAGAAAGTATTTAACAGCAGCGGAGAAGAAAC